CACAGCGAGAGCCAAAATTTTGTCTCTACTTTTAGTATATTTTCTTACCTATCAAGTTTTTTAACTTTTGGGGTCCTTTCAAACTAATACTACATTAGTTTCCATATAATCTGTCAGCTACACCGTTTTATTTTTCGAGAATTGATGGAAAAAATTACACTGAGACACTCTGCTACTTAAGTTAAATACACAGTGTATTTGTAGGATGACTTCCCAGAAATACGCCTGTTTCAAACTATAGCGATCTAGTTCTCATAACATCCACTGTTATCATGTTTTCGGATATTTTTACCTGCTTTACCTGACTCTCGTAGTAAAATTAACCACAAAAGAGTCCAACTAACTCACAGTTTCTCCTCCACTTGCAGATCGGCTTAACGAATCCGTGAAATCTTCGTACTCTTGTAGAGGATCTTGAGAGAAGGGCAGCAGAATAAGTGCTACTCTACCCTTCTTTGGTACTTTGACTGAGTCAATCGTGATGCTAAAGACCAGCCCTTTTCCGGGTGTAAGCGAAAAGCCATCCTCCTGCGCAAGTTTAGATTTGTTCGTCGGAAAGGAAATCTTAAGAGGAGCACAAGAAAGGAGAGATAAGAAGATAAATCCTCCCGACATTTTGTGCGCCGTTCGTGCTATTTTTATACAGTCTTTTGATCTGTTGGTAATTCTTTAGTATGTTGCCTGTAAATTTATGTGCCCATAAGATTGTATTTGGCCTGGATGCTCTGTTTCCCAGTTCTTTGACACAATAGCAACTAGAAAAATGCAAAAATGGATCACTTAAAATCTGTCTCCTTGTAACTGCCTCTCCGAAGTTGTATGTCTTCGTGGCTTTAATTTGTGAATTTTTTGTCAACTGATGCCTGTTTCCTATCTAAGCCTTGATTTCACCGGTTACTTACAAAATTCGCTGTCTCAATAGCATCAGTGTTAATGCATAAAGTTGCCGGCATTGCGGCATTCTATGCTCATGGTGACATGCTTCATGACATTAACCTGGGTCAAGTGGAGCGTTAGCAATGAAGGAGATGGCCCGCAATTTTAACCTTGGAACTGCAGGAAATCGAATGTTCCTTCGAGAGGGAATTGGAATAGGTTTCCAGCAGGTAGCTTAAATGTTAACTCTTAGGTTTGGAGAAAGAAGCAAACAGTACCCATATGTAGGAAGCTGAGAAAAAGGGATAATGTTATTGCTGTATAAAGGCGTAACAATGTGAGCTTTCTTGGTGACGTTACTTAAGTTCTTTAGATTTCCATGTGATAATCAGTATCTACTCCCTTGAAAAAGCAATATGAAAAGTCGACCCATGCCTTACGGCCAAGACGCTGTTCTGCGGAGTAGCAAAATGACACCCAAAATCGCCTTTCGCAATACGTTTACGATTTGTATCGATCGTATGGGGTCTAGACACGCCCGCAGTTCTGACGCAGATGACTCACAGACGGCTTAATGGCTAGAGGTGGGGCATGACCCAGACACCGTGTGCCCTACGTACGCACACCCAAACAATGTGCAGAACGCATTTAAAACAGAAGTTTAGCTATAAGGAGCTGCCTCTTCTTTCG